TGTTGTTATTCCTTTGTTGTTAACTGAGATCGTTTCTATTTTTGCACATTTCTTTTTGCTCTTTTTGTTTACTTCGTTTAGTATTTCTTTTCACAGCTGTTTGCGCTGCGTTTATTAAGTGTCACAATACAGTGATACTCAAACTGTTCGTTACATATATTTTTAAGCTAAATACATCAGCTCCTAAATTGTTGTGTGTGTTGTGTTAAACTTATTTTGCTAGTCTTTTTATTAACATAAGTGTTATTAAATCTTTCAATATGAAGTGTGATCTTGATAACTGCCAAATTAAAAGCGAATCTGAACGCTACTTATCGTGCTGGCTCTGTGATGGTATTTGCCATCTAAAATGTGCTGGTTTGACAGGAAGAATTCTGGACGCTATTAATGATGGCAAAGGTCTTCGCTGGTCTTGCTTAAAGTGCAGGTCAACCGAAGTTGATCTCTTTAAGTTGTTTAGGCAAACCAGAAATGGGTTTTCTGAGGTAGGGAGAGAGTTGTCGGTACTGACCGAAAAATTTAAACATTATGAAAATGTATTTAAATCTTTTAAATGCTTAGATACCGTACAATCTATGAAGGACATTCATGTGTCAAAACGTAAGCGTCTTCATAGTCCGCCTAATGAAAGGACCGTTCCACGTCAGAACAATCTTCCGAATGACTTAATTAATCTTTCTTCTCCATGTCCACAGACAACGGAGTTATCTTCCTCAAGAGAACATATATCAAAGTCTGCTTCTAATAATAACGACCCTGCAGTATCTTCCCCGTCCCCCATTGAAGTTGTGGCACCGCCATCTAATCTTCCAACGCTTACTCTACCCTCAATTAGTAACTCAGTTACTCAACCCCGTCCGCCGGTAATCGAGTCTGATACTAGGAGACTGGTTGTGGTTCCCCCAAAGAAGTCTATATTTGTATCTAGATTTTCGAGGGATACTTCCGAGGACGATATAAAGTTTTACATCTCGTCCAAAGTTAAAACTGTCAACTTAAGTATCAGAAAATTTAATTTTAAATATGAAAGAAATATTTCTTCATTTAAAATAGACGTAAATTTAGAAAATTGACATGCTGCTTAGTAGTACTTTTTGGCCCTCCGGAGCTTTCGTTCGTGAATTTGAGTATAGGCCCAACAAAAATAATAATTTAGCAAATATTCCCCGTCAGAATACAGAACCAAAAAACTGATTACTAAATCTGCTTTAAGTATTTATTATCAAAACGTAAGAGGCATAAATACTAAATTAACGAATTTATATCTTAATGGCCTTGAATGCAATTATAATATAATTTCTTTGACTGAAACTTGGCTCAAACCTCACACTTTTAATTCAGAGATTCTTTCAAATAATTATCATATCTACAGAAAAGATCGGGAGGACAGAGTCGGCGGTGGCGTACTCTTTGCCGTAGACTCTTCAATACCATCTGAAGAAGTTAGTCTTCCACACATTGAATCTGCAGAATTCAAATGCATTCGTGTTCAGGTTGGTACTTAGCTCTATGCTATATTCCTCCCCGATCTGACTTATCAGTGTATTCACAACATGTATCTTTACTGAAATCAATTAATTCAATGATTAAACCCTCTGATTCATTGATTGTGTTGGGTGACTTTAATTTACCAAATGTATCATGGAACATCATTGACAATGATATTGTACCTTTCTCGTCTAGCGCGTGCAACAACGTATTTTTAGAGGAGATGGCAGAACTCTGCCTGAATCAAGTTAATGTACTTCGCAATAAGTTTGGCAAAGTATTAGATCTTGTTTATGTTGATGATGCATCTAAGTCGGCTGTAAATAAATGTGACCCACTAGTTTTGCCCGAAGATGTCTACCACCCTGCTATTGAGATATCTTACGAAATTATAAACGATGGTCAAAATTGCGATGTCCAAACATACGAACCAAATATTCGCTTTGATTTTTCGAAAGCCAACTTTAAAAAACTGAATAAAGAATTGTCTAAATTGTCGTGGCCTATATACAAAGAAAAAGTTGAGCAAAGCGTTGCACATTTTAATTGTACTGTACATAGATTATTTGAAAAGTATGTGCCTCAACGCATGTGTGTTCCTGAAGAACAAACACAATTATGGTTCACTAAAGAACTGAGAAACTTGAAAAACAGAAAGTCACGTTATTTTAGATTACACAAAAAAACCGGCTTACACTCATACTATGTAAAATACTCACTTTTGCGTCACAAGTTCTTTGAATTAAACAAAAAGTGTTATAAAGATTACTTGTATAAAATCAAACGACGTATAATATATAACCCCAAATCATTTTATGATTTCGTAAACTCCAAGCGAAATGTACGGGGGTTTCCTTCCGCCATGAAGTATCAAAATACCGTCTCTGGTGATAATAAAACAATTTCTAACATGTTCGCTCAGTTTTTTAAATCCAGTTATTCCACTAACTCCCAAGCATGCTTTGACTATCCTTTTAAACTAAGTCCAATTAACTCAATACATAACCCTATAATATCTCCCGATGGTGTTTTAGTTTACCTGAAGTCCTTAAAGCAGTCTTTTAGTTATGGTCCTGACCAGATCCCGACTAGTTTTCTTAGAAATTGTGCTGATTATCTCTATGAGCCGTTAACAGCCTTATTTAATTTGTATCTTAAAGAGGGCGTTTTTCCAACTGTATGGAAGGAATCGTTCATAACCCCCTTACATAAAAGCGGTAGCAGGTCTTCAGTGGAGAACTACCGGGGCATAGCTAAGCTTTCTGCAATTCCTAAATTATTTGAAGCAATTATAACAAATCGGTTGACGCATTCTATCACTTCAAGCATTTCATACAGTCAACATGGATTTTGCAAGGGCAAATCAACTTCTACAAATTTACTTGAATTAACATCCTATATCTCAAAAGCATTTAGTGAGAGCAAAACTGTTGATGTTATATATACTGATTTCAGTAAAGCATTTGACAAAGTGTGCCACTCGTTGCTCATCTATAAACTTGATCTTCTTGGTCTTCCACCTAATTTTCTACGTTGGATCCCTTCATACCTCTATGATAGATCACAAAAGGTATTGTTTAAAAATACTATCTCTGAAGTCATTGATGTTACTTCAGGAGTCCCTCAGGGTAGCCACCTAGGCCCGATTCTGTTCTTGCTTTTTATAAACGATATTTCTACAGATATAAAATTCTCCAAAATTTTAATGTATGCAGATGATGTAAAACTTTATAAATCGTACGTTTCAATTGAAGAAAGGTCTTTGCTACAATCAGACTTAAACAGCATGGCTTACTGGTGTAAAGTAAATCTTATGCCTCTAAATCTTAAGAAATGTAAAGTAATGTGCTTCTCGCGAAGAGCTGTTCTGCCAGTTTCTTATATAATAGGTAACCATAACCTGGAACAGGTATACAATTTTGTGGACCTTGGTATCACAATGGATCCTAAGCTTAATTTTAATCTTCACATTAATGTGACAGTCAACAAGGCTAAAGGTGTACTTGCATTTGTGAAACGATGGTCAAAAGAATTTAGTGACCCTTATATCACTAAAACCCTGTTTACAACATTAGTTAGGCCGATTCTGGAATACGGCCCGGTGGTTTGGAATCCAAGGTATCAAATTTACTCAGACAAGATAGAATCAATTCAAAAACAATTCCTACTTTTTGCTTTAAGAAATTTCCGATGGGATTCTCAATATAGTCTTCCACCTTATACGAGTCGCTTAAAACTTATTAAGCTTCCTACACTTGCCAGTCGCAGGGAAATGCTTGGTATAATTTTTATGGTTAAATTACTGACAGGCTCAATTTCAAGTCCGTCTCTTCTGGCTGATGTAAGCTTTAATGTTCCCTCACGCGTATCAAGACACTTTTGTCCCATATTTCTGAAAGCTTGTAAAACCTAAAACCAATTTTGAATTGCACGACCCACTCCGTTGCTTATGCCCGGATTTTAACTCTCATTCCAGCACGTTTGATATATCAGATCCGCTTTTCAGCATTAAGAAAGCGATACTCTCCTCTCTCAATAAGTGAATTGTTGACATAAATGATGAACTTAGTTCTGTAGCTGAACAGTTTTAGATCTCGACACTTAACAAACTCCTGCCTATCGTGACTTGGCACAAAAAATTTAAAATATTGGTTCCGTACGTCATGCGGACTGCGCCACTCGTGCGGATGGGCGGGAATGGAGGGTAAAAACCGTTGGGATATTATTATTATTATTATTATAAATGCCCTGCGTTAAGAGTGGGCTGCATGGATAATATGATAAAAAACTCTCTCATTTCGCTTCTGAGAATGCTCCTAAACTCGTTTTACGACTTGGCAGCACAGAAAGTTCAGGAGGCGATGAACAGCTACCACTAGTCAAGTTTAAAATGCACCGCTTTGAAATCAGGGGTTTTATTTTACATGCAGTTATAAAACAAGCGAAAGTGCAGTGTTTATATGTAAAAATATTTTTACTCGCTATTTAAGAATTTTATTTCGAGTGATTTTCGAGTGTTTTACTTAATAAAAGAAAATCTCCTATAATTTCTTAATAAATACCCATACATGTATTTCGTAGCAGTGGCACTATTGGAAGATGTTATGAAAAATTAACCTTTTGACAGCGCTCTCACGAAAAAAAAAAGATTTTCGTATCATATTAGGTGCGTTCGTTTAAAATCTCCAGTAAAAAACATCTAACTGCCAAATTCCGGCGAAATGTCATCTGTGCTCTCACAAAGAAAAATATCCAAAATAATACGCGAACAGAAAATTTGCAGAAACTTGCAAGTTAGACGAACAGCTGATATAATTTTTGTTTACATTCAAAAGTGTAAAATTTAAAACGTACGAAAAGTCATCACAAAGTGTTATACTGACACAGTTTATTGATTAAACAAATAACTACTTATTTCTTACAAGTTTAATTAGTCGCAGTTTGTAATTTTTAACTTCCAAACCATCAAATTCAATGATGTGATTTGCGTAAATGCCAACCAGCTGTTTTTGATCAGCTGTTTTCCTGTTGGCAAATTGCTGTTGGCAAAAATTTTTCCAAAAGAAACCAGCAGCTTCCCCTCAAAATTAAATGTCTCTTTGCTCTCTCAATTTCCCCTACTTTGCAAGTTTTTTGCGTACGCGAACGCAAAAACTTGTAAGTTTTGGTTATACGTGAACAATTAACAGCTACGCGAACGCAACTAATATCCATGGTGGGCTGCACCTGCACTTGCGGTACGATGATGTTGAGCTTGCGGTGAGGAAAAAGTTGTACTATGCTGGAAGTATGCAAAGGCTGCACTTGACCACACCCACCAAAGGCTGCAGTGGTAAAAATCCCTGCACTAGCGAACGTGGACGGACACACGATGATCCTGACCTGTACAAGAAAAAATATTTATTAATATTTGTACTTTCACTTTTACTTGTAAGTATACAACGGCTGCACTGGACAGTGTTGCCACTATTGGTCTTTTCCGACCAAATTTGGTCGCTTCTTTTTCATTTGGTAGGTTGGTCGGTAAAGTAAGATTTTGGTCGGATAGTTGAATTAAGTTTTTAAATACTTAATTAGAAAAATATATTTTTCAAACATCATTCTGCATTTAAATATTTACCAATTGTACCTTTAAAACATTTTCCAATCCTGCCTGTAAAAATAAGAAAACTAATTGGTTTGGCCACTGATGGAGCCAATGTTATGGCTGGAGACTTGGGCGGGCTTAAAACATTATTGAGTGCACAAACCGATTTATTTTTTATAAAAAGCACATGCCACTCACTTCACCTTTGCTCAAGCTACGCTTGTAAAAAATTGGCCAAAAGCATTGAGACACTGTGCCGTAACATATATAATATATTTTCCCACAGTCCAAAGGGAATACATGAACTGACGGAATTTCAGGACTACTGTTCGTTAAAACCCCACAAAATCTTGGGCATATCTCAAACATGATGGCTTTCACTAGAAAGCGTTGTGTTAAGAATAGTTTAGCAGTGGGATAGTTTGAAACTTTATTTTATTTCTGGCTTTTACGAAGTACACGTGTTGCAAAAACAAATGCCATTTTTTATTTCTATCGTATATTTTCCCCATAATTAACAATCTTAACAAAGAGTTCCAAGCTGAAAGCTCTCGTTTGCCATACTTATATGTAACTATCAAAGCACATTATCTCTTAATTATGAGTAACTTTATTAAAAGAGATGCGATCAGTAACATATTAATGTTGATTTTAAAAATGAAAATAATCATGTTAAACTATCTGAAATTTTTGTTGGAACGAAAGCTGAGATGTTTATGAAAAGTAATGTCAACTGATCTGGAATCCTTGAAGTTAAAACCAATATTTTAAAGTTTTACATAGAGTTTTTGGAGCAAATAAATTTAAGATTTGATTTCAAGTACGGTTGCCAGACGTACTGATTTTATCAGTACAGTACTGATTTTTCAACTCTTGTACTGATTTTATTCATTTCTTCAAAAAAATTTCATCATCAGTGAACCCTATAGAACAAAGGAAACCTGGCATGTTGACTAATCAGGCTCGGCCGCGATATGGATTGCTAGCCCCAACCATCGCGCAGAGAGCAGCGGGGTCGGACGCTGCTACGTCTGGGTGAAAATGGCGCAAATCACTCTGGTGAGCTGCTACCTGTCTCCAAACCACACAGTCCTTGTCTTCAGGGAAAAGCTCGAAGACCTTGAAGACGAATTGCGCGATATTACCGGCCACATACAGCTTTGCCAGGTTGACGTTTATAACGTCATTTGGACGTTTTTTGTACCCTGTTGACGTTTGGACGTTTTTTGTGTAAAAAATGACGTTTTTTAACTTCCCAGTAATTTTTATTTGTTACTAAATCTTATAAGTAGAACTGATTTTGAATTATTTTCTTAATAAATCTTTACATTCTTTATGTTTTGCTGCAGCTGCTTCCAAAGATTTTTTTCTGGATTCTTGGACAAAGGATCCCGTGTTCAAAAGCTGGTTGTGTAAACACTTGCAATTGCACATTTAAAGCCAATTCAGAAAGAGCCGATCTATTGCAGCAGGCACGCTCGCAAAAACATCAAAAAAGCTGTGCAGCATAAAACGTCAGAAAAAAGTAGGCGACTTTTTAAGACTTCATTGAAAATGTAATGAACACAAAATAGACTGAAATATTAGGTCCATTCAATAACTTTTCCAGTAAGTACTTGCAGCGAGAGCGTAAAAGAAGAATAGAGAGTAAAATTGAGAGCAAGAGAAAATTTTCAGAAAGTTATTGAACGAAAAACTAGTAAAAACTTGCAACTTAAGCCATTTTGACACTTTCTGACGGTTAAATTTTGGCGCCCAATTTTCTTTTAAATTGGGAATAGTTCCCATCGTCATAAAAATAAAAAAATATACAATATATTTAAATTTTTCATCCATATTTTCATTTCACTAATTATGTTTCATCAAATCATCCTCTTAAACAGTTTGTTTACATTTGAATTTGAAACATAACCTTACTTTTTGACTCCTGCAAATTCCTGCTAGTAAAATTTTTACTTGCAAGAATTTGCAGCTCTCTCGGGTTGTTACGCTCTCGAATTCGCTCCCTCTTGCAAATAATTTTGGTTATTGAATGCATTCCCAGTAAAAACTTGCTAGTACCAGCAACAATTCGTAACAATTTTTTGATATTGAATGGAGCTATTGCTATGCTCCTTCTTAGCAGACCGTAATTTAGCATTTTCGACAACCGAGCCCCTAACCAAATGTCTACAAAAAAAAAATTATTTAAAATCAACGCGATTATTTAGCGCCTTTAAACTTGCACATTATTGCCCTGAAATTTAATGGGCTATCAAACTGCATACTCAACAAAAATTCTAAAAACTCTGAATAAAAAGTTGAAAATCTAGCCGAAAATTTGCAGATTGTTTATAATTTTTGCACAATTTTTGTGGATTTATATTTTGTTTGTTAATGAGCTTGGCGTTTATGGAAAAATAATAAACATTAAATAAACGAAAGAGAAACAGCCAAAATCGGTCAAACTATCGATGACTTAATCAGCTGATCATAAGTGTATGTATAAAATGATTTTTATATTAACGACCAGTTTACAATGAATTTTAAATGTGCTCTGTCGAAATGACATTTTAATATACATAACGTACATATCGAGCCCTAACCGCCAAAATAACGTAAGCGACAAAATTTTCTTTTTGATGCAGAAATGCACCTTAATGCTCAAGGAATATTTCTGCATCAAAAAGAAATTTTTGAAAACAATGTCGCTTACGTTATTTTGGCGGTTAGGGCTCGATGTGTACCTTTGTATACAATAAAAGCTTAATAAGAACAATTTTTTGTACATTCAATTGAAAAAGACGTTTTTGGGTAGGAAATTACGTTTTTTCAGACCAAGAGGGACGTTTTCTCATGCCGAAGACCTGGCAACACTGGCCACATAATTGTTGCTGGAGATTTCAACGCCAGAGGCGTGGAATGGGGTATGCCCCAAACAAACACCAGGGGAAGACTGGTCCTTGAAATGGCAGCCCGCATTGGCCTGACCATCCTCAACACCGGATCGACCCCTACATATCGAAGGCCGGGTTTTGGATACTCTATCCCTGACATAACCTTAGTCTCAGAAAGCCTTCTTCTGACGGATGGAGAGTGATGGAAGTCCTGAGTGGTAGCGGTCGATTTCTACCTGACGCAATTCCTCACCGGTCATGGTTTCTTCCGAGAATATCTTCATAGAATGGGAAGGGTGGACTCCCCGTTCTGTCACTACTGCGGAAACGTCGAAGATAACGTGTACCACACATTCTTCACCAGCGAACACTTCTTGATTTCGCGCAGAATGTTGGAAGAAAGACACGGAGACATAACAACATAGTTGGGGTAATGATCTCCAGTGCAGAAAAGTGGGAAGCAGTTGCGAGATACGTGAAATTCGTACTCCGCTGCAAACGAGAGGACGGTTGTCTACTGAGGACACCCGAATGAAACGCCCCTGCAAAAGAGCAGCATCTGAAGACATGCAGAATTGCGGTGCCAGATGCGGGATTCTTGCGCGGGCGGTGGGAGTTTGGGTTTTAGTGGGTAGCCCAACACGCTTCGGTGGGAAGGTAGTATAGAGACGGGGAAGGTAGTATAGAGACTAGCGCCCCCGGCCAGTGCAGAAAGCATTTCCCTCTCCTACGAACAAAAAAAAATGTCCTGATTTTTCAAAATTCGTACTGATTTGTACTGAATTTTCAATTCAAACAAAATACTTTAGGATTTTCTTAAGGTTTTTACATAACGTTGGAGAACTTCCTTAAACTGTACTGTAAAAAGTATGAAGAAAATAATTTAATTATAGTTGATATGTTTCAGATAATGTTTCATATGCCCACGAAATTAATACAACAAAAAGTTGAATCATTTTATGGGCATATCGCCGGGTCGTTACGTACCAGTTCCGATAATATGATGGGGCTTAAATTATTTAAAAAGAAGGCTGACGTGTTGCTAGTTATCTCGAAAATAACTGTCAGTTTAATAACAACAAATTTGAATATTCGAATGGCTTTCGCCTATAACTTACAACTCTTTTTTCACAATTTACTAACATTGTAAAAGAGCTCTGCATACAAGACATAAAGCTAGATACACCTTTTAGGGAATTCTTATTCTTTCAAAGTTTTTGCGTAGTTGAAAAAATTAATTTAAGCCATGAGGAATTATAGACGAAGTCCTTAAATAGTGGTACTTTTCCACAGTTTGAAAAAATATGTAGTTTAGTTTTTTTTTCAATACCACACTCAAACGAAGAAACTGAGAGGATCTTAAGTAAAATAATAAATAAGAAGAAGAGATAGAATTCTTTGACTATTTAAACACTGAAGATGGAAATGATCTCATTATTGCTATTCAAAAATGTCATAAATATAAATTAATTTATTGGCTTCTGTGTACAATGATGTGTACACTCATGTTAAAATTAATAACACTTTTATTGTTTTATGAACTATATTTTATTTATGTACCAAAATACTGTTAAAAACAAGAACTCTGGCGTTTTAAAGTATTATCTGTTACTTACATTCATCATTTTGCTTTTTTGCTGATTTTTTTAGCATGGAAAACTCAACGTACTGATTTCGCGCAAATCTGGCAACCCTAATTTCAAGCGTTAGGATATAAAACTTGTACAAATAATAACGCCAGCTAAAGTAGTTTCTAAAGAAGATTTACCAATTTTACTTTACACTTTTGTTAAAGTTTGCGCATCTCATAGATTGCGATCCTGATATAATAACTACGCTGGGGCTTCGTGAGCTTAATATTTCCAGCGATCTGGATATTGATATGTTTTGGGAAAAAGTGTATCTATTAAAAATAGAATGAATGAAAATAGCTTCATCTATCTCGCCAATTTTGTTTTTAATATAATTTCATCACCACATAGCTCTGCGGCTGCAGAACGCAAATTTTCAACGCGTTCTTTGATAAAAACTAAACTAAAAAATAGACTTAAGATTGACAGTATCAATAGCATAATATTATGCAAGGAACTTGTAAACAAAAATGACCCGCACTATGTGTGGACAGCTGCTAAAGATTTGCATGTGTAATTAAATGATTTAAATTTACTTTTAAGAAATTAAACTTATTGGAACATAACATGTACATATGAATATAATTCATACAACCAAGAAATTTTAAATGATCTCATCTCTGTGCCTAAGACTGTATCTGCATTTATTTATTTCTTGTTTGTTTTAAAATGTTTTGTATTCGAAACATTTAATCTTAAATAAATGAATAGTATGCTTTCAGAATGCTTTTTTGTAATTGAAATTTATTTGGTAGGTTGTAAAGAAAAGTGGTAGGGGAAAAAAATTGTTAGTGGCAACGCTGGCACTGAACCAAAGTAGTTCCGAGTGGACTGCAGCAGCCATATGTGGACGGACAGACAGGGATCCTAGCACGCAAAACTTACTTGCAACGGCTGCACTTGTTGTAAAACGCTACTTTGTGAATACAAATTTTTCGAATAACTGCGATAATCTGCAAAGAAATATGTAAGTTATTTTTTTGAATTCAAGATATTTCCATTATTTTTAATTATTTTGGCATAATTACTTGAATTTGCGCAATAAGAAAATCAATTTCCACGTAACAATCGATGAAAATATCGGCAGTGTTGCCAGTTGAATTTTTTATACGAAGACAATATTTCTCCTTGTAGTTTAGTAGTAGTTTCTATAAATCAAAAAAAAGCCGACAGGCTAAGGCAGAATGCGTGAGCGAGACAACTGCCAGGTTATTCAACCTTGTATTAGTTGCGTTCGCGTAGCTGTTAATTCATGTTTAACCAAAACTTACAGGTTTTTGCGTTCGCGTACGCAGAAAACTTACAAAGTAGGGGAAATTGAGAGAACAAAGTAACATTTCATTTTGAGGGGAAGCTGCTGGCTTCTGCTGGAAAAATTTTTGCCAACAGCAATTTGCCAACAGGAAAACAACTGATCAAAAACAGCTGGTTGGCATTTACGCAAATCACAAAATTGAATTTGATGGTTTGAAAGTTAAAAATGACAAAATGCGACTAAT